AGATACATGTTGGTGAGGGATCGACAAAGGGAACCCTGTACACGGCTGATGGGAATGTAGGTTGCAGCAATCATTATAGAAAACCATATGGAGGTTCCTAAAATATTCAAAATAAGACTACCATATCACCCAATAACTCTTCTTCTGGATACATACCCATAGGGGGTAAAGGCATCTGCGCTCCCCTGTGGATTGTGCACACTCAGTATAGCCAAGATACGGAAACAACTTAAATGTCTGTCAATGCAAAAACATTTTATAAAAGGCAGTGTGTGTCTACACAGTGGAATATCATTTAGCCTCAAAAAGGAGAGCCTGCCAGGTGCTACAACACGGGAGACCTGCAGGACATTATACTAAGTAAAATAAAGCAGACAGCAAAAGAAAAAGCATTACATCAGGATTCTACTTTTATGTAGGATATTTTAAAAGAGCTCAAACAGATAGAAATAGAGAAGGAAAGAGTGGTTGCCACTGGTGGGGGAGGGTCAGAGGAAATGGGGAGAAGTTGGTCACAGGATACAAAATAGCAGATATATTGGGTGAACACAGGCGCTGTTGTGTGCACATGAGGATTGAAGTATCAGGTTAGGTATTTTTGTTAAGTGAGTACATTCTAATTGCTCTTGTCAAAAGAAGTACCTATTAAATGGTAATCCACTCCATGATAGTAAACACTGTCATATGTGTCTCATAATATCATGTTATAAATCTCAAATGTACAGAGTAAATTTCCCCTCAAACCCCCAGCAAATCACAAAGCACGTCAATGGTGGGAAAATAGAAATGTACAAAATGGAGATTGTTCAGAGGTGGGGTGATTAATTCAGGTCTAAGGACAAAGAGGCTCGAGACGGTTTTCCAAAGAACATAACATCGAAGTAGGTCCTGAAGGAAGACTTGCACTTGGCGCTGGTCAGACAGTGTTGAGAAGAGTTGGACGGGAAGGGGAGGGATTCCGGGGAAAGAAAGGGAAGTTCACTGAGCTCCGGCGACTTGGAAGAGTACGGCATGTTCAGAGGTCTGGAAGCAGTGCAGGAGAATTGGGGTGTTATGTAAGAACCAGCAGTTGTGGGAGATAGAGCTAGAGGTCAGCAGGGGTCAACAGGAGGCCGAACCCCAACATAAGGAGCTCTGATTTATCCTGATAAAATGGAGAGTCTTTAGAGCTGTTCAGAATGAGGAGAGACGTCATCAGTGTTTTAGAACTGGTGCATGCTTAGCAGAGTGTAGGTTGAATAAGAGGGGAGAGGCTGATTATTCACTGTCTTTTCTTTCCATGACCCTAGATCCATGCTCAGCCCTGTTCTGCCCTGCTCTGGTCCCCAGCAGGCTGACTCTTGCAGACTGCATCTTCTGGGATCCCTTGAGCTGGCCTTCTGGGTCACCCATGGGCAGCAGGAGCAGGGAAAAGGTAGACAGAGGGGCCATCTCGAGACTTCACACCTGCTCCCTCTCTGCTTCCACACCCCTGTCTGGGGCAGCCCTTCCTCCGTGCTCCCAGCTCCCACAGACTGCACCAGCTCTATTTCTCTCCTTTGTCCCTTCAGTCCTGGAGCTGACAGCAGCCCCCAGCTATTGCTATTCTCCGGGCACCTCGACATCCTTGTCACTCCATGAACCACGAACACCGCCCTCGTCTCCCTGTGGAGTCCCTCTATTAAGGTCTCCTTCTTTGAACATATAAAGTGAATTATGCTTCCTGCATCAGTGAGGGTGGAGGTTGAACTGAGACCCAGAGAAAGAAAGAGGCATTGCAGTACTCTGGGAGAGGGATGCAGAGGGAGTGTGGGTGAAGGACACGGCCCCCAAACTGAAGAGTTCAGGAGAAGACGCAGGCTCCAGGGGGCTGACAAGAACAGTATCAACCACATGAGTTGGAGGGGCCTGGGAGACATCAGGAGTTGTCCGGGAAGCAGGTGGATGGGAGATCTGGCCTCAAGTTTAGCCAAGGCACGAGCAGCACGGAGCTAACAACAAATAAAGACCATGGACAACAGGCACGCACTGAATTTTCCACAAGCTCGTCCCGCTGGCTGTGTTAATAATTATGGATATAAAAGTGGAGTTATAATGACCTGAGAGCTCGCAGAACCCTCTGTTCAGACACAGCTTGCTTACTTTGCACCTTGATTGGCTGTCCCCCTCTTAAAGAGGTAGGGGCTTGTTTTTCAAACCCACAGTTTTTCCCTGGTGTTCCATCTAGTCGTTCCTATTTTTCACCACCAGATTGTTTGCTGGGGAAAAGAACAAAAACAGCAACAGATGTCTTTGTTTGGGGGTTTTGCAAAACTCTCTGATTAAGATAACACTTTCAATTAAAGAAATTATATCATCCAAATACCATATGCCTACAAGCTCCATTGCAAAAATCACCTGCTTTCAAAAACTGTTTGAAGAGTTCCTCTAACCACCACCCACCGGTTCAGTTGGGCATTTAAACATTTTATTGTCTTGGCTCTAAAATCCAAATAGTTCAGTTTAAGAAGCTGGTCAAGATGGACATTCTCTGATTTGTCTACTCTAGACACTCACCGCCAATTCCTACACACACACACACACACACACACACACACACACACACACATGCACACACCTGCATTGTGTGTAGCCTGTTATTCACTGTCCAACAGAGCCTGCTCAGGACCTCAGCAAGCAATTGTGGAATCACTTAATTCGTTTCTTCTTTCTGGCCTCCCTCTCTGCTACTTCACATTTTCATAGCTCCACATTTTCTGAAATAACTCAGTGCCACATTGGTGCTAAGCACTGAGACCACAGATAATTGAGCAGATTCCCCGCCCTCAGCATACTCACGGTCTAGGGGACAGGCACGTAAATGAGAAGAGAATTCTTTTTTTTTTTTTTTTTTTTTTTTTTTTGGTTTTTCTCCGGTACCGGGAACCGAACTCACGACCTTGCGCTTGCCAGGCAGGCGTTTTTG